CACCAGATATGGCACCATCAGATTACCATCTTTTTTGTTCGCTGCAGCACCATCTTAATGGGAAAAGGTATGCAAATGTTGGAGGTGTTAAAGAGGACATCAACATGTTTTATGCTTCAAAGCAAATGATTTCTTTAATCAGGGCATTAACAACCTGATTGTAAGATGGAAAAGCATCATTGATAAGAATAGGGACTATTTCATTTAATAAATTTTTTGTTTGGATATATAAGTTGTTCAGATTTTTTCATCTAAAAAAAAGCAACATTAATTTCTTGACGACCTAATATTTTGTTATGTGTCTAGTAATATGAAGTGAGTTTTTTGTTTTTTTATTTACAGGTGTAAGCTACATGTTTAGGAAATGTGTTTTTGTTATATTAACTTTTTTACCAAAAGTATTCTTGTATTCTTGTAGAGGCTCAGCGGTAAGTCTGAAGGTTTATAATGCTAAAAATGGGGCTTTGACACCTGTGGTGGGCACAGCACAGATAGCCCAATGTGTAGCTTGGTGCTCAACAAAAAGAAAAAAAAAACATAGATAAGGTCCTAGTTATTATTCTGATGTGAAGTAACACTGTCCTTTTCCTCATTAACTGTTTCTATTCTGCAAGGCATCTTCGAAACTAAGTTTTGACAGATGTTTGAATTGGGTGTCTCACAAAGTTAAATATGACAATAACATGGTTTGTGCAGGCCTGGAAAATTCCTTGTATTTTAACTTGGCTCTTGAAAACTGTGAACAATTTTGATTTGTCATTAGGAGGGTTATTGAATCCCATTTATGTTAAGATTCTGGAGAATGTGATTCCAGATATTGCTTGTTTCTAGTCTGTGGTCAACTTTTGATGTATTGGTCTTTATTCTGATAGCTTATTTAATTTTTCTACATTTCCAGTGTTTTTAGTAACAAAAATCATGTACTTGTCACATTAAAATGAGTGTCTTGTGTTGTAATAATGTTTGGCTTTGGTGGAATTTCTGATGTAGTAGTGTTGTATCAGCATGTTCGTTTAGTTTGTGATTGATAGTTATTTCTGTTTCATGGACTTAGATTCCATTGCAACTGAAACTACGTGTTTTCATTTCTAGGAATTAAGAGGTTATTTTGCTCTTCTCAGGATCTTTCAAAAATTTTTGCCAGATTTGAAATAAACTCTGACACTAGATTTCTTACAGATCTTATTGAAATTGTAACTTAGAATAAATATAAAAGGTAGAGAGATGGTGGTTAAACGTTCTTCTGAGGATGTCAGTGAGAAGAACTAAGATTTTAGTGACTGTTTAACCCTTTCACTGCAACTGGGACATATATTTCTTAGTGCATTGGGAAATGCATATCCCAGTTGCAGTGAAAGGGTTAATGAACTATTTAAGGTAACCATTAGCTTGAAATGTTTTGTTGGTGAGATAGACTTCTTGTTTTAAACTTTGAGTATCACAGATTTTCTCTGTTCTCATTTGGAAATTTTAAATAATTCCACATTTTACTAAGTGCAGATGGTTGGATCTGTAACATAGGTACTATTTCATGCATAGATAGTTTTTGTGGCAATGTATTAGGACTTCTAGAAATGGCAGTTAATATTCTGACTCTATATATGTACAGCAAATTGAATATTTTTATTTGGGGAGTTTAGATGTTGGAGAATATCACCAATGATGTTGTAGTTTTGTGGCCCAGGTGACAATGGCATTATTGACAAAACATTTACAGGATCATGGCTTCAGCTTTGCTGATTCTTTAGCTTGTGATTTAAATTCAAACATGAAGAGGTTGCTGATAATTGGTGGAAAAGAAGTATCCATGGCTAGACTTGCAGTCTGTTAATAAAAATAGTCCTTAAATCAAAAATATGTGATATTAAGGTAATGGAGAATGAGTTCTGATGAAATCAACAATGTTTAAGAAAGGGTCCATTTCTAATTTTTGCCTAATGAATGTGAGTGAATCAGGAACTAGTGTGTTGAGAAATATATTGATAGCATCAAAACTGACAAGAATCTCTTTTTGATGGGACAGAAATGTCTTAAGTTTTCAGACAAAAGCTGTGGAGATCATCTCTTAAAAATGTATTTTCTTTCTGGGAGGAGTTAATATATGGACAAGGTGGTGGACTAGTTTGTGGGTGGAAAAGTAAATCTACTGCATTGACAGTTTTGATGATGAGGAACCCACTTTTTAGAAAATATAGTTTGGAGACAAGCTTGAATGACTAGTGACAGAAACTTTATTACAAGTGTACAATGTTTCAACAAGCTTATATAAAAGATTCCTTCACTTCCCATTCAAGCCATCTCCAAACTTTATATGCACTGACAGTTGATGGAGTAGCAGGTCCAATGCAGGTACCTTGGGTAGGTCATATGATTGTGTATCTATTATCAATCTGATTTAAAGACATGGTTTTGTTGTCTTTGTCAGTCAGTTGATAATAATTACATTGCAATACTTACATAAATATGCCTTTTTTTTACTCTTTACATAACTGTTTCCTTAAAAATAGATTGATACTAGCATCATATTCTAATGTACAATTTTTTTTACACACTTTATTCTTCCCTTTTGTTTCAGACTCTGATGACTATGAATTTGTTATAGTATCTTTAGACAACAAACAGTGGCAGTTTGAAGCTAGTAACTTGGAAGTAAGTACTCCTGAATGTACTTTTCCAGATCTGAAATGAAATGCTATTAAAAAAATAGTTTTCTTAGAAATTATTAGTTTATTTAGCATTTTACTGTACTTTTGTGTGACAGATTGTATAATCATTAAAGGAATTTATGTAAGAAATTGTAAAATATACCCATTAAACTTTATGTATCTTCTTCATTATATGTGTAGTTTTGTTTGTTTTTTTAAAATGAATCATTAATTTTATTAATTAATATACAAATCAGCATAATACACTTGCAGAAGGTCCACCATGCTTTGATGAATGGAGCTTACTTGTGGTTTATTCTAATTGCATCTGTATCTGCATTGATGTTGATGGATGTAGTAATAGTAGATCATTTACATGCTCATAAGTTGATGGCAGTTCCAAACGATACTAATGTCTCTTAGTGTAGCTCAAACTCTTTAGAAATCTTGCACTCTCTTGTTGTCAGACGTTATGTGAGTTCACCAATTGAGATTGGACAATGTATATTTTTATTATGTGTAACATTGTCTATAATGTTTTATATTGTTCCAACACAGTTATCTTGTCTTTAGTATCTCCAGATTTCCATTGATTTTTTTCTTATGTATTTTCACTGTTGAACTCAAATTCATTATAAATATCATTCTGAAGTAAAGACATTTTTGGTACTTGTGTACTGCAGTTTCGTTTCCAGATGGTGATGTTAACACATGGAGCAACATCTGTTGGATATTATGCAGTACCAATAATTAATTACCCAATATGATATCTCTCATAATAGTGTAATTGATACTGTTCAAACTTTGATTTGTTCTTACTTATAAGACAAACTTTGACATGAAATTATATATGAATATATTATTAACTTTCTTTTAGAAAGTGAAAAAAGAAAGTATCCTATGAGAATCTGTTGAACTGCAGTACACGTTTTTCATTATTTTTTAAAAGTGTAGTGTGTGTATGTGAAATATTTGGTATAAAATGATTTCAAAGTTTAATTGATATTATCTGTGATTACTTATTATTATACAGTCCATTCATCATAAGCTAAATTTCCTTAAAATGTTGTGTTGTAAAACTCCAGATTCATTTTTCAGGAACGAGAAGGCTGGATAAAAGCCATAGAGCAACAGATACTCTGTAGTTTACAGGGAATTGAGAGTACAAAGGCCAAGGTAAAATTTGCTTTTGTTGAATATATTTCTCTTTACCAAGAAATAGATTGCAATAGTACAAAAAAAAATGTATGTAGGCACAATTATGTTTGATGACTTACAGTTATTATTTGTAAACTTTTCATATTAGTGCCTCTGACTTCTTTTGCTCCTCCTTTTTTTTTAACAAAACTTTTTCAACGTATATATATATATATGTGTGTGTGTGTGTGTGTGTGTGTGTGTGTGAAATATCACAAAATTACATAACCTTAACAGTTGAAATTGGGTGTTAGTGTATTTTAATAAAACAAAACTAAATATGGAGAAGTAAGTAGCTTTTAATACTATATTTTACCCATCAAAGCAAAAGCTAATCTTTAGAGTTTCAAACTTAGGTCTTTATGGACAGCAACATAGACTTGAGGTTGAATTTTAAAAGGTTCTGAAGACACCTATTGAATTTATTATAAGGATATATTTTGTTTAAAGTTTTTTATTTCATCAACTATTTTGTTATGCCTCACACAAGTGGTAGTGCTAGATGTTCATTTAATTTTTGATCAATTTCTGGTATCTGTAAAAATTATTAGAAGAGACTCTTTTTAGCTTTTAATTCTGAAGTCTGATCAACATTTTTAGGGGGAACTCAAGGAGAGCATATTCCACTGCTAATGTACATCTCAGTATTTAGTTTGGTAGGTGACCTTGGAACATACACACTATCCCAAAGTCAAACTGTTGAAAATAAAAACTTGTGTGTTACATTTATCAATATATACACCTGGAAAAAAGTTAAGCACCCCCAAATATTTTTCAGGATTGCTTATTGAAAATAAGGTTTAATTTTCATGATGTTGAGCAATGTTCATAATTTCAAACATAATTAAAA